ATATATATATAAAAATACTGTTTTAATGATTTAATTCTTCTCTTCAATTATTTCTGATATTCTTGTCTCTTGGTTAAACTGTTGAGTTTCCCATCATCATGTGACTGTTTCCTCCTGCTGTGGTGCATTCAGGGACGACTCTGAACCTGCTGAAGTTCCCCATCATCAACCCGACTCCGTACAGGATGTTCAGGCGTCAGGAGCGACTGAAGGAGGCGTCGCAGCAAAAGGAGGTCGAGCTGTTGCCAGAAGAGCTAAAAAGGCTGCAGTACTTCAGCAAGCAGGGATACTTAGTGGGTAAGTGGTGAGGCAGCAGGAAAGACGAGGAGGTGCCTCCTGTCTGAACATGTGTTTATCTCTTCAGGTCGCATTGGCAGAACATTCCGGGTTGAAGGATTCAGAACGAATGAGATCCAGTTTGATCCTGACAGCCTGGCATTTGGAGAAAACGAAGATGGCGAGGAGACCACGACAGGTGGGCGAACTGATGCAGGAATCTGTCGAAAGCATTTTATGAGAATCCAAAAATGTTTAAGTGATCATTATTGAAGCTTTAATTAGTGGTTATCTTGCTGTAACATGCTTTACCTTCTTCCTGTATTCAGACTGATATTTACTTACTCCACAGGAGACTCCATTAATCTTCTCTCCCATCTAAGCCTCCAGTTGTGATGCTCATAAATTATTACAAGTCTTATAGAGTTTTACTACACTGCTGATTTGACCTTTGACCTCTATGTGACGTTGCCTTCCAGCTGCCAGCAGGTCAACTGAGGAGCTGAGTCACAACGAGCTAAAAGACGCCCACTGGCTGTACGACACGCCGGGAATCATGAAGGAGCTTGATGTGAGGCTCATTTTAATCTTCAGGCTTGGAGCTAGTCCTTTAAGAAGACTTTCTTATGATTGGCTACCCTTCGTCCCAATTATTGTAGTCACCTGAGTTCATTCTCTAAGCAAATATCTCTGGAGTCACCCTTACACTTTCATTAACTATAAATCAGTGGCAGAAGCTCTGATTTTACATGTTAACTGTAAATGCCAGCCTCCACACAGCAAGGGGCACTGCTCCACTGAATAGACTTCTCCTCAGTGTGTTCCTGACATTGGATGTTCACAAATCTTTCTTTTCCTCTCTCTTTCTCAGATTCTAAACCTGCTGCATGAACAGGAAGTGAGGTTGGTAGTTCCCACCCAGGCCATTGTCCCGCGAACGTTCGTTCTGAAGCCCGGCACGAGTCTGTTTGTGGGAGCTCTGGCCAGGATCGACTTCCTGCAGGTGAGAAGAAGAAGCTGAACAAAAGAACTGAAATCCAACTACTGTGGCGAAGAGTGAAAAAGAGCAAGAGAAGCAAGCTGTTAGTCAGAGTGGAGGAGCAGCACCAGTGAGAGCGGACTCCATCTCCACTGAGGTGGATGAGCTAGTGACTGTAGTCCTCGAAGTTTGGGGGAGGGGGTAGGGCAAGGCAGAACAAGGAATACTTTTGGATCAGAGTCCAACAGCGGGATGAGGCTTGCTGGAGAGGCCACTGAACGTATTCTTCAGTCATTTATTTGTTAATGAGTACAGGTGTGGTCACCTGTACCTGTGGGTGTGAATGTCACAGTTGGCTGGGGAAAAAATTAAAGGGAAAAATCCAAAATAAATTTCAAACTTGTCAACCTAAATCTTTTTTTTCCTTTGAAGTCTTACAATAATTCCACTTTGAACAAAGAACACTTCAAGTTTCTTTTATCCTGACCACACCAACGAGCCAGTATCTGTTTAAATTAACCCAGATGTTGTTAAATAAATTGATACATTCATGATTGGAGATGTTTAAGGATTACAAATATCACAGTGGCACATGGACGTAAGCCTGGGCTCTGAAACGGCACCACTGGTACTTGAACATGTGGATGTTCCTGAAGCAGCTGCTGCCACAAATAGAAATGAGCTCTTTGGTGCTTCTGAGCGACTAATAAGTGATTGATAAGCTGCTGATCCGCGCTGTCCTCCACAGGGAGAAAAGTCCTGCTGGTTTTCTGTCGTGGCCTCCGATCGGGTGCCGGTTCACATCACTAGCCTGGAAAAAGCCGACAGCATTTATGAGAAACACGGTGGACACGTGCTGCTGGGGGTGAGTTGCATGAGCCCTGCACAGTGCTGCTTTCGAGTGCTTGTGATTATTAATGCTTGTGTGCGTGCTGCGTTCAGGTGCCTGTCGGAGGCTCGGAGCGCATGAAGGAGTTTCCTGCATTGGTTCCTCAGGAGTTCAGTTTGGAGGGTCGGGGTTACCTGGAGGCTGCTGCTGACATCAAACTGTCATCTGCAGGTAAATTCATAAACATCACCTGCAGCACCTTCAGTGTCTCACCTGCCTCACCTGCCCATCTCTCGCACTGTCTCTCTGCAGGCTGGGTGGCTGTGACAGCAGTGGAGGGCGATCAGCTGCTGTTGAGAGTTCACGGGCCGCAAGCTGCAGGCTTCGGTTTGAGGACGCCGTCGCTGCTTCCTCACGTCATCTCTCTGAAAGGAGAACGTATCCGCAAGTCTGCTGCATACAAACCAATGAAAGCCGTGGGTCTGCTGCACAGCGGACTGTCGGCCGCCGGAACCGAGAGGCTGCAGGTGAAGAGGAAGAAGAAGAAGAACTGCACTATATAAATAAAATTTAATTTGTTTTAAATGTAAGGTGTAAAATCAGAGGTCTAGGTGGAAATACCCTCACATTAAATCTTTTTACTATTTAAACTCGTGTTCACAAAAATCTGTTGTGAAAACTGTTAATTTGGGGAGTTTTGGTGTTAGCTGGTCGTGATGCTTTGATTCCATTCTGTGCAAAAACACATCCATGTGTGATATTTTAAATGTTGTAAATATTTAAAGTCACACCAGATTTTCTTTGAAGTCTGATTTTTAGAACTAATGAGGCTTTTAATAGACTCCGAGCTCCGGTTAATTCTGAATATGTTCCAACTTTATTAAAAACGGGCAGACAGATGCTGAAGTTGCTGATAGTGTTTGGAAATCTTTATTTACAAAAAAGCAGAAGAAAGTACGTTACAGATTAAAGCTTTAATCGGTTAGTTTTTAGCTGAAGAGTGCACTCAAGCTGCTCACAATAACATCAGACAGTTAGACAAACATTTCTAATTTGATTTAAACCTGACAGGAGAAGACGTTTCATCTTGTTAAACAGGCTGCAAACCTTTGTAAACGATAAAGTTGGTGTAATATTATCTGATCATTTTCATCACTCAGTTACTCTGATATTAAGCTGTACATGGGGCATGGTGGAGGCCAAGGTGCTCAAGTTGAGGCTTCAAGACGGAAACTAAAATACAAAGTCTGTAGAAGCAGGAAGAACCTTCTGATCGCAGTGTGAATTAGCAACAAAAGCGGTTTCGGGATTGACTGGACGGACTTTTTGGCTCACGTAAATGTAGTGTCCTCTGAACGCAGCCCCAAATAAATTTTGTTCCTTTCTTTAAAAAGGTCATTTTCACCTTTCTGGCACAGTTCAGTTAGGCTTAGAGATGCCTGAGAGCAAGCACTGAGGGCAGTGCTTGCTCTGGAAGACTCGATGAGCCCCAATGGGCTTAATTACAGAAAAGATCAAATAACACCATCCTTATCGTTAAGTTACAGAAACTACACAAGCTGCTGCTGACACAAACCTTTACAAGCAGTAACTCATACGCATGATGTCGTTTTCATTTGATAGTAATAAGCCTCTGTAATAATAACAGTCCTCGGATGATGATCACTCTGTACAGTCGGAAAGAAAACACTTTGGCGTCTCCACTAAAAGGAATATCGCACTGAAACTGTAATGAAAAATAACCCCCCAACCCCTAACCATTAATGGAATTTAATGTTTTACTACAGCTGGTGTAATAACCAGATCTTTAATCAAAGCATTCACAAACTGGTACCAGGGCCACACTAAGGGGAAAAGGGAATTTTGAGAATAAAATTCATCTTCCTGTTGGCGCCTCTATAATATGGGCTGTGCTGACAAATTTGCACAGTCTGGTGAAAAGTATCCGGAATTCAGCTATTCCAGTTAGGCACATTTGAGCAAACTCAAATAGCTGCTAATGCACAGATGCAAGAACATCAGTGGTCACAATAGCGAGAGGCCACCACAGGAAACGGTGAGACACTTAAAGTGTTTGATCCTGAAGGCGTGGGGCTCAGGTGCTATGTGGTTTGAAGCCTGCTCAACACACACACACACTTTTTTTGTGGAAGCACAAAATAATTGTGTGAGCAGGTTTTCATCCTTTCAAAAATCTGGTTATTTTAAGTAGACTTACTATTTAGTTTGGTTTTAATCAATCTTTTCCATAAAGTAGCCCTAACACTAGTCCCTAACACAAAAATGGCATATTCAGACCAAATGCAAAGTGAAGTTTAAGTGCAGCGTGATTACAAACAAAGTTTGGAAAAGGTTGTGAAGAACTGAACACAAATTCAACAGATTTGCTTTGAGCTGTGTCGATTTTCCTGCAGACTGTCCATTTACTTCAAGCCAGAAATGGAGGAAAAGCCAGTTGCTAAATGATAAGGAGAGTAATCTTAGGACTTCATTTGAATGTTACATGACTCCAGGTATTGGTGAGGTTTATTAAGAAGCAGTCATCCCACTGGCTATTAATATATGTGATTGTGAAAAGGTCCAAAAACAATCCAGCGACTCTGCTTCAGGTTTTGTTTGAACACACCAAAGGAGAAAGGCATTTTTCTGCAGACTTGAACCTTCAGACGACAAATATAAAAACAAATGAGAAGAAAAGCGCAACATTTCAACAGCTGATTGTCAAAGGCACTGAATGTTTTTTCTTTTTAAAAAAAAAAAAAAAAAGGGAAAAAATTCCACTTTTACACTAGAAAATCTTTCTTTTTTTTCCCTACATGGAGACTTCACGACACTGACAGGTTTAAAAAGGTCTCCAGATGTTCTGTGGAGGTCATGAAAATTGATATGATGTTAAAATTCATTGTATGTGCAACAGCAGAGTTGAGGTGGACATGATCTGAGAGAGAGAAAAGCATATGTACATGCCAGTGTGTCGGCTCAAACTGACCCTACAGACCAGACCAGACCAGCATGTAAAAGTTCAAAAGGGTCTGAGCACCTAACATAGCCCCCGACGCCTCTTCCAGGACTCCACAGGAGGAGGCGGAATCCTGGAAGTCTTCAAATCAGCAAAACAAGAGCAAATCTGGTGATAACTGAATAGAATCAGCTGCTAAATCTAAAGAGTTGGTGATCGGACACCAAATGATGAGACATTTGTTCAGTTTATACGTTTGTGCAGTCTTATTTCACACAACTGGAGTGTCTGCACTTTAAAGCAGAGACGGGTCCTAAAGATGCACAGTGTGCTGGATACAGCTCCTCATTTCTGGGAACTGCTGTCCATGTAGTAGACGTTTACCAGGTGGCGGTTCAAGTGGCGCCGATACTCCACCTCCAGGGGGAACGTGCGGTCGCAAAAGATGCACATGTGACTCTTTAGCTCAGTAGGAGTTGGGATCTCATCAGTGGGTGTTTCTGGGTCATTGGACATCTTAGTCGACCCGGCGCCGTTGCCATTGAGGCCGGAGTCGTCGCTGCCCTCGGAGGCGCTGTCGCTGATGTCACTCCCTCCTTCGTGGCTGCTGTGGATGCCCTCGTCATCTTCGGGCTCGGTGGGTTTGCTTCGCTGCCCAGGGAGCACCAGAGAAGGTGGTGACTTGGGTTTTAGGAATGTTGGCGCAGGTTGTTCTTCAGCAGGAGAAGGCGTGTCCTCACCGGAGCTGCAGGTGGGTGAAATGTCCGTCTTCTTAGAGTGTTTGTTTGGAGTCTTTTCTGGCTCTGGTGGAGCATGTGTACTTGCGGTGGTTCTTGCTGCAGGGCTGTGTTCTGTTGGGTCGCTGTGAGTGGTTTCCTTTGAGTTGTCCAGATGAGGAGAAACTTTCTGAGCCTCTGAGCATGGACTGTTGATTGAAGTTGCTCGACCCTCTGCTGGCTCCACAGCAGGCTGAGGGGTGGGGGCTTTCTTGTTGGAGCTCCTCGTCTTCTTCTGCTTTGCTGGTATTGCCCCATTGGACTTGTGTGCTGTCAGACTGGACTCAGTTACCTTACTGGTGTTTTGTGAGGCAGGTTTAGACTGAACATCCTCCACAGCTGAGGCTTTCACCCTCCTGGTCTTGGATGGAGTGCAGGGCTTGCTGGAAAGATCTAAAGCCTCCACAGCTCTCCTCTTTAATGCCTTTTCCTTGACTACCTTTTCCTTCTGACCTTTCTCTGGACACTTGTGTTTCTGTGGAGCTTGTTTGACGTGCTCTGCAGTCTTCTCAGACTTCTTTGTTCCAGACTTTCTGGCTTTGCTGGCATTTTTGCTGTCATTCTTCTGATTTTCTTTCTCTTTCTCAGGCATCCCTTTTTGTTCCTCTTTGTCCAGCTTCTGCCTGGCTGATCTTGCCTCCTCTGGCCTTTGTTGGTTAGATTTCTCTCTCTCTGCTGGGTCTTTCTGGGTTATGCGTGCTTCTGCTTGGTTCTGAACAGCTACTTTCTCTGTTGCAAGCTTCTTGGCTCGTCTCTTCACTTTGTTCTCTAAACTTTCTGTCTCCTTCTGGATTTCTTTAACAGATGCGTTCTCCACCGGACTCTCAGTGACCTTCTCGACCTTCTTCTGTCTTGTGATCTTTTTCTCTGGTTCCACTTTGTCCTTCGCTTTTGGCAGTTTCTCAGATGTGATGGTTGATTTCTTCTGAACCTTGCCAGGTGTTTCGGTCTGTACCGATTGGCCAGTGCTGGGCCGAGTGTTCTTTCTGATTGACAGATTGATAGGACTCGACTCCTCCTCCCCGTTGTCCATGTCCAGGTCTTCCTCAATGCTGGATGAATCATCAAGCTTATTTGCTCCAGAGTCTGACTTTTCCTCTGCACTCTCGGGACCTGGTTTCTTGACTCGCAGCTTGACTTTGGAAACATCCAGGGCAACATTGCAGCCAGAGTGCCTAGACTTGATGTGATACTGCAGGTTGCATTTCTTGGAGGCAGCATACTTGCAGAGGGGACAGAGAAACTGCCGAGGATTGAGGTGGAGTTCAACATGCTTCTTGTAGTTGCTGCGATCAGCGGTCTTGTACTCACAGTATGGGCAGGAAAGAGGTTTGGGACCATTGTGGACCTGTCGAGCATGTCGAGTCACCTCGTGTTGGTTGGCTGCCAGGTAGGTACAGCTCTCGCACTTGAAAGGACGCTCACCTGCACACAAGAAAGTGAGGTGTTACACCCTTGCAGTGAAGGCAGTAGGATATAGAAAAGCTTCATGCAGCAGGTGAGTCTGATACTTGAGGATCTATATACGTCAGTAGACTGATTCCTTATGTTTGTCTGTAACTGCTATATGTCTGTATTCACAACCCTGAGGTCCTTTTCTTAACCATAAAGAACAAAAAACACACCATGCACAAGTCTGACTCATCTCTAGTTCAAAGTAATCTCCTTGTGCACCTGTGGACAACTTCCCATTGTGGCTGCTGTTTTTTGAATGAGCTCCATGGTGAAATCGAGCAAACTAGCTTCCAAACATCAACTTCGGTTTAAAGTGGCCACCTTTCAGGCCAAAGATCATCACTGCTGAAGTTGAACGGTCTCCAGCTGGAGCCCATAGACCAAACATTTATCCAACGGTGTAAGGGAGGGCAATTACTGCTGACCAAACCAACAAAACTTTACCATCCTACCCTCCTCACAGAATTTGGTTACGTGGAGATTGGTCAAATTGCTGTTAATGTGCTTTTTGCTTTTTATAGGTGGAGTTTTTATTTAACCTTTTCTCAGCAAATCTATAAATTGTATCTTGTTTAGTAAAATCTGCAAAATTATTACTTTCAAATCATTAAGGTTTATTCGTGTATTCGATGGAAGCCAAATAACTGAAACAGGATCGTTCATGCAGGAGTTTGAGGATCACAGAAGAGCAGATAAAACTGAAACCACTTAATCAGAGGCCGTTTTCTGACCCCGCTGATATGTTTTCAGATTCATCTGCTCTTCGGTGTGAATGCCCCACAGAGCAACACAACACAACACAACACAGGAGGTGGTAGCATATAGTTCTGCTGTTACCATGTTAGTCCAACAGCGACAGCTTCAGTGAGAGCAACACAAACAGAAATGTTCAGAGTGAGTCAGAGGAACAAAAACAGAGCGAAAACATCAGTGACATTAATTCTACTTAGTCCTATCATATATCACTAATATCACCATGCTACATCTACTAAAGTACAGCAGTGTGAGCACTAAAACTACTGTAATACTAATACTTTAACAATTTTACTCTCGGGTCTTGAATATTCAACTATGAGCTAGATAAGAAAGAAAGGTACATTTCGGAATCTAGACCAAGGGTGTCAAACTCGGCCGTATTTTATAAATATGGGACAATCCTGCTTTCAAGGGACAAGAAACTACTACTACTAGGGCTGCACGATTAATCGTTAGAAAATCGCGATCTCGATTCATACTTATGTCTCATTTCCAATATCTCATTTCCAAATGACAACGATTAAAAAAAAAGAAAAAAAAGACGACGACGATTGTACCGCATTTTGATCCGGGACGCACTCTGCATGAAAACAAGCGCTCACTCTTCCAAATGACAAGGGCGGAGCCTTATACCACGTGATACAGAAGCTGTGCCGTGTGATGCTAAAGTTACCAGGGAAAAAACAACGGACAGCACGTCAGGGATGACGAGACAGGAGAAAATCCGTTCCGGTCAACCACCCAAACACCAATAACGGGAACCTTATACAGCGCTTCCCTATACACGTCGAACTCAAAGAAATTACGGAGGCTATCACTTATCACCTGACCAAAGATATGGCTCCCATCAACACTGTGCAAAACGAGGGATTTAGGAAAATGATCAACACCCTAGACAAACGCTACACAGTGCCATCCCGCAACTATTTTTCTATTGTTGCACTACCTGCTCTATACACGCAGTGTCGAGCAACGGTGGAGACGGAATTTCAAGCAGTACAACATTTTGCAGCAACAACAAAACGTGAGACATTTGTTGTTTTTATGGTTATTTATTGTTTTTATGTTCAGTCTCAACTGTTACGAAGTTGATGTGCAGTTAATAAGTGCAATAAATATTTATACCGGAAAAGAGAATCGTGATCTCAATTCTAAGCCAAAAAATCATGATTCTCATTTTATGCAAAATCGTGCAGCCCTAACTACTACTACTGCCCTGACAAACTGCCCGGGTCTTTACGCCATCTGCTTAATCCTGGAACAAGTGCCAAACAAAGAGAGCAAACCACTCACTCTGGCTGGCTAAGAGAAGCATCGAGCAGTGTTGTACAACTGATTTAACAGTTTACTATTCAACTCTCCAACTGATTTATTAGCCTCTACAGTTAGTTTTACCTGAGTGAGTCCTCATGTGTCGGGTCAGGTGGGTCTTCTGTGAGCTTGAGTAGTCGCAGTATGGACACTGGAATGGGCGAACACCTGAAATAGACAGAAAATAACACTGAGGTCCCACGACTACCTACGTACAGACACTTTTAGTGCCTAAAAGACTTCAGACAGGCAAAAGACAGAAACGCAGAGGGTCGTCGTACCAGTGTGAGTCCGAATGTGTTGGATATAGTTGCTCTTGCGGTCAGAGAAGTAGGAGCACTGGCTGCAGGTGTGCAGTTTGCTGGGGAAGTGATTCCTTAGATGTTTCCTCCAGTGGTACTGACTGACGGTGGTGTATGGACACAGAGTACACTTAAACACCCTGCAGAGACACAGCGGCAGCACACACTCGTTACTCAGGTCGGTAAAACAACTGGTCATTAATTTTCCTGCAAAATGCTGGTATATGGAGGCAAAGTGTGTGTGTCAGTGCACAAGTGCAGGTCTTACCTGTGGTCTTCACCCTCCTTGTTGTGGTGTTTCAGGTGGGCGATATAGTGGTCGTATCGGTTGGTGTTGTAGCCGCAGCGCTCGCACCTGATCAGCCCTTTGATGTCATCTGCATTGGCTGCCACCTCCCCGCCGCTCTCGGCCTCACCACCTGCCGGGTCCTCGGGTGCTTCCGCCTCCTTTGCCTTGGTCTTGCTCCTCCCCTCCACCCGGTTCACCACCATCATCTTGCTGATACTGTGGGTGCTTAGATGATCCACAAACTCCTGCTCATTTTCCGCCTGGAAGTGACATGGTTTGCAGTGGAACGGTTTCTTCTTCTTCGTGCTCTCCGTCACAGCAGGCGGGGCCTCTTTGCGTTTGGCACCCTGGGGAGGTGGTGTTTTAGTGGTGGTGGCGGAGGAGGAGGAGCAGGGCTGAGGCGGGCAGGACAGATCTTCAGCTTTGTCTTCCTCATCCTTGTTCTCATTCTCCTCTGTCCTGTTTCCAACAACCACAGCACGGATACCTGGGCCCAGAGTCTCGGGATACTTCTCAATACCGGCATCTCTCTGATTCTGGTTCTCGTAGCCATACCTGATCGCACACACAGGTGAGTTAGTGGCCAGATGAAACAGGTATCTGCAATATTACTATCAGGTTCTATAGAGCAGGTCTTTCTTTTATTATCAGTAATATCTCAATCAGAAAATCTAGAGCATGCTTTAAAATATTTTGCCTGCTGTGGGCATCCTTTGCACAAACAAGGGAATTCCTGGCAATACGCACTCACAGTTAAGCTGAAATCAAACCAAACTACCCACACTAAGTGCTGCTGGAAAGGGAAAATTACTACAAAAGCAACAACTCATTCTTCATGACAGCAAAAAAAGGCAGATAACTCGCTTCTGAACTGGGAGCACATGGGAGCTTCGCGGGCTGTCCTCAACTGGAATATGTAACGCCTTTTGCAACTTCACAGGGAAACATAAAACATTTATAGATCTTAGCTTCCTTCATTTTAAATCCAGACTTTTTAATGACCTGCGGGAACCCTGTGTGTGTAATCATGTTTGACCAAACGCAATCTCAACAGAAAAAAAGTGTGATTATGATTTCTGCCATTCAGAGGAGCTGTCGCTGAAGGTTTTTTCTCTTAATGGCAAATATAGAAACGGCTGGATGTTTCCAGGAATAGCAAACAACCCATGAGTTAAAAAATAGTTCCAATGTTTGTTTAAAGTTTCCCTTGGTTAATATGGGGGTCAAGCCGAGGTCGGACTCGTTCTCACTTCCTCACCTGACCACACTCTCGTCCTCGCTGTCCGAGTAGCTGCCTCCCACGGTCTTCAGCTCCATCATCTCCTTCTCACCATCACAGCCACCGCTGCTCTCCGCGGCTGTCACCGCTGCCACGTTTGCCAGCATCACCAACTGAGGGGCGGGCAGCGTGTTCCTGGGCATGTCGCTGAGATTCTGCCCATCCTCCATCAGAGGAACACCCACGGGGAACATATCGAGTGAGAACACAGGCTGAACTGCCATGTGGAGTTCAGCGCTTCACCTAGACACACGGAAAGCTGCAGGGACAACGACACGGGAGGAATATTTTTAATAACTGCGACCTCAGAATCATAACCACATATATGTTTCTGGTTATTTTTTCCTTTAACTTATGTGTAACACTGAACATGAAGAGTTCTAAATCCTCTCTGCCTAAGACGGACCACAGATACCAGTTTTTCTCATGTAGGATTTGAGCGCAATCTACTTAATAATGTCCATAATTACAGATAAATGCAAATCTGCAAATCCACACAAGCTCATGGCCCTCATTTCTGAATATTTGAGTGGAACCGTTCCTACCCTGTGCAAAAAACTAATCTACAAAACATGTGGACCGGCTTGTTTTCGCATGTTACTAAATCAGACTCATTCTGAACCAGCAGGCTTGTGCAATCTGCATACTGCCACTACTTCTCTATCACTCCTCTAGTTTACCTCCAGTTGAAGCAGAAGTGGTGACGATGTTTTAAGAGAGAAACCTGCAT